AATTAATAAGGAACCACTAAGGACAATAGACGCTTCCATCTCCGACGCACAATGAGACCACCTTGTTTCGCGGCCTCTTTTCGGTCGAGCATTCAGTTTTGCCCTATGTTCTTTGGGAGTCTCCTTGTGTGTTCGCTTCCAGCCGAAAATTGTCAGCAGGCATTGCGAAGCTCCAGAGACTGCGTGGAGACCAAATGCCGGGTTAGCGATTTGATTTGTCACACGAGAACATGCCAGGTACCAATAACGTTGGGCAGATATGCGACTAGTGATTTACAACTGTGTTCAGCGATTGTTTACTTAACCCACATACCAGCGTGCTTTAATATGCATTCAGAACATATGACGAAGCCATTTGGCTGGTGCCCATGCGCCCACAACGACGCCGCGGCTTTCGCCAAAACGCATTCGCAGATCAGCTCATACTAGTGCATGGTCGAGTCCAAGCTTGCGCTGCAAATCAAGCGACAGTTCTGGAAACAGCCTCTTCAGAGGTAACTGATCGCGGTGCGATCGATTTGCGCCCGTGGTTGGTGGGCGCCATGCCACTCTTCTGTCTGTTCTGTGTGAGAAGTTAGTGCTTACGGGAATCAGACGGACATCTTCACACAGGTGTAGCAGCCGCTCACCATGGTCATTACGGAAGTCAACACCGTGTTGGCTACTTAGACCTAACTCCCCGGTGGACAGTTTTTCAACTTGGGTGTTTAGATCACCTGCAAACAGCACAACATCCGTACTTTTTCTTTAACCACTGAGCTCATTCAGTTGATGATAGAAATCATATTCGACCGAGTCAATGCTACCGTTTGTGGGGCGTATGCAGCACCATCACACTTATTCCTGGGTGCCTTTGAAGCTTGGAACGAAACACCCAACTTGACGATGCACATTCGGCTCTTGACTGGGATCCAGTCGATCAGAGCAGCTTCAGCCCAGGGACTCGTAGCAATGCCCACATCAGCTTGATCGGTATTTGTAACTGCGTCATATGCGAAGAAACACAATGAGAAATTATCGCGCTGTCACATGTGGGGGGAGGGGGTTCGCCGAGCAAGCACAGGGCTCGGATCTTTCTGGCGGGTTTCCGATAGGTAATAGCTATCAATCGATAGAGTCTCCATTGTCCTGGCAAGAGCTGCTTATTGACCAATCTGTAACAAACTGCGCACTTTGAGGCATGCCAGTCTTAGCATAGGTCGAGAGCTCCAAATAGAAATGATTGAACTGACGACATCCGCTTGGTTGGACATGGACCTGTCGACTTGACCGGGGCGATGCTCTGCGATTGCTTGAGAGTCGAAGCTAGAAGACAAACGACTGTTGAAGCAAGATTGGGTAAGGTCGATACTTGGGAGTTGTAAACAGGGGAGATAACAGTGAAGGTGGGGCGGGACGATAATGATAAAACAACGCAAGATAGGAGTCAGAAGACGAGAAGGTCTGAGTAGTAGCCTTCTCACATCTATTTACCCTGCCCGATGCAGCAGATGGGGCGCCGTTGACTATCTTCTGCGATGACCAGAGCACCCGAAAAGTGCTTGGAGGAGAGGTTCATTGTATTCATTGTATTTGTATTGCTGTCAGGTTACGCGTGCCTAGACTGGAGAACGATTGGGGTCCTAAATCAAAGCCTGATCGCCAGGCAGCTGGTGTTTGGCACTGGGTTACAATAAGTCCGTTCGACGGAGTAACGATCCACCCTCACACTAACTCCCAACCTGGTAGGTCAGGATACTTAGTTTGCTTGGCCCCCAACCATTGACTAATCTGGTATAAATGGCTCTGAAGTTGCAAAATTCACCACCCAGTGTAACCCAATGATTCGTTCAGGCATGCAAGCCATAGCAGCACATTAAGGTCCAGTCTCGTCGCAATGATGTCTGTCCTTTATATCAGTGCTGCTCCATGTGTCCTACCTCTATCAGATTTTTACACGACAGTTGCATTCAGTGACTTAGTAAGGGGCGCGCTGCTTTATGGGACAAATCAAGGGATTTAGGTGGGGTCCTCTATTTGTACCATTTACCCAGTTTCATCGTGATCCAGTTGCTTGTCTTGGAGGCTATGTGAGAATCCCTCTATTCACAATACTTGTGTTGCATTCCACTGAACTACATACTTTATGTATTCTCAGACTGGGTCTCAGAGGATAGGCGCTTGTGTATATACAACTGGCGGTGCCTACCGTTTTCCTCTTACTATTTGTAACGGGAGCTGCCAGGCGAATTATAATGTCACATTCCTTCTCTATTTATGAAATGTAGGCATTTTGACCGTTCATACAAACAGTTAAATAATAAGCGGATTTCTTTCACCTCATTTCTTTTAAAGTATCGACTATAATTTAATGGAAAATTAGTTTTTATGTCTTCTACACTTTTAAATGTCGACTTTTCAAACATTCATGGTTGATCGAATGAGCGTTGGTGTATAGCAGCTGCCCATGCCACAACGAGGACTCGTACTATTGAAAGTGCCGATTATTAATCACAAAGTGGTCCCAATGAAGCAGTCATTGAGAAAAATATACGATGGACCGACTTTCATCCCCTTTACTATGGGCTCTAGGCGAATCACGTCAAAAATCAACTTACCCGCCGTGCCATCATCGTTCACCGTTACCTAAATCCACCTAGGTTGTTCCTATTGTGTCGGACACTGCTAGAGTATAGCGCAGGCCAATCCCCAGCAATGAAGAAGGAGCAGGGCGAGTACGCGAAAAACCGGAGTTTATTCTGAGAGCACAATGTGAACCAAACGCGGGTGAAGAATTCACACTGTCCAGCCTGCACTAGCGGAATACGCTTTCGGTCCTGAATTCTGGTTCAAATCAACATTGGTCCGTTGATCGATATCTATCCGATGCGTTCGGCATCAGCCGGTTCGATCTCGGGCGCAGCTCGTTATGTTTTTTGGGGCAGTTAGTTGAGTGAACGCGATTTACGTGCTCCGCTGGTTTGCGCTTGAGAAACCGTACCCTCCTCGCACCTTGTTCGATGTACGATCTCCGTCTTGGATCAAGCTGCAATGGGGTTACTGGCTTATGCGCACGGCTGGATTTACGTCTTTGTTGGGGCATATTACTTGTTTTCGGGGCTAGGTTACATGACGTCCCGGCTTCAGTAGGCCTTTCCATTTCGAACGCCTCCAATAGAAGATCAAGACTAAGAGATTCATCGCCGCTGTGTGGATCACGACGAAACGTTCGACGGAGTTGGTTAACCTGGCGCCTCCACAGCAACTAGACACGCCCAGTACATCCTTTAATGATGCCGATAGCCCACTTTTGATGACTACAACCATAGTCTCTAACACACAATCTGGTCACAACGTACGCTTTACTTGCATCATAATCGACTGCTGGCCCAACACTGGTCGGATTACATCGTGTACCGGACGTAATTTTCGTTTCATCCAGGCTTCGGCGGAGGAACAGCTGTTAGGAGTTTGCGGATTTCCAGTTGTTCTGGGGGCTTGCAATGATGTATCCAGTATTCTCACTGTCCTTCCTCCTTGGATTTCCGTAGAGCATTTGTCTCAGGTAGATTCCACCCTCTCAGAATCTAGAGAAGTATTGATGAACACAACTTGTTGGTGGACACGTCGAAAAATTCTAAACCATCAATCCAGTCAATACCAAGAACGCTGAGTTCACAACCAACTATGTAAATGGTACCAGGATCACGCTTGTCTGAAATTGTCAGCTCACAATCAAATTCATCAAGTAATTTGATTTTACCGCCGGATATATTTCTAACCCTATTATTAGTCCGTCAATATCCTGGCGAACCTAGTTTCTTCCAGGTACTTCTTGACACGATCGTTATATCGGACGCTGTATCAAGTTGTAAACGAACCGTTCTTCCGTCTATCCTCGCAGTCACGTATTTGTGTTGGCGTTTAAAATTGGCATCAGTTCTTGCAAGCACGGCATTGAATTTGGGCTCGATTCTATGTGGACGACTGACTGACTGTTGATCGATATCTATCCGATGCGTTAGGTCTCAGCCGGTTTGACGTTAGGCTCACCTCGTTCTGGTTTTTGGGGCAGCTAGTTTAGGGAACGCGACTTACGTGGTCCGCTGGTTTGCACTCGAAAAACTGGATCCTTCTAGTAGTAATATTGGAGATGACGTTAAAGATACCGAATATGACCCTTGAGCTCCTTACCGCAATCCTGGTTCTGTGACCTGATTTAAGCTTTCACTTTCACTATGGGAATTTGTCTGAATGACCCACTCGTTGAGCATATTTCGACTTGATGTGAACAAGTTCACTCTCACTACACATGGTATCACCAGTTGTAGTATCGGTTCTCTGGACTGCTTAAATCTCTACCCCTTGCGCTATATCCCCTTTAACACTATTTCGTTCATGCACTTCATTGTGTTTCCTTTCTTTCTCCTCTCTGTGTACCGTTGAACCCCTACAATGTCAAACCATCGGTGTGTGCATGACACACAGATCCAACGCCTACGACTTCATATGTGTGGTTGGTTGATGACCTCAGTTGTGAATATACCATTTGCGGCCATATTTGCTGGCTATTTGGAGCCAATGGAGTTATTGATGCGGACTTGTGCTGGAACCTTAAATTGTTAGGTATTGTACATTTGGCTGTCAATTGTTAATAACTAGTACCGTTGTCTAATTCCGGCTTTGCTGTTTGTATTCCAGTAGAAACCTTTTGGCTCAAGGCTTCCAAGCACTTTGCCGCTATGATGATGGTTATTTGTCACTATCGTTATTTTCTAGCCACCTGCGTCTAATCATTTTATCCTACCACACTTCGGTGCATGGATCACTGCTGTTCGCTGAATTAAGTTGCAGAGCACTTGTAGGCTTGTCTGATCCGGGGTACAGTTGTTTCTCCTTATCCCATTGGGAACACCCTGTGAAATTCGCGTCCATGTTTGAAATCTGGTGTTGCACTGCTGTACTTTAATCGTGTCACTATCCAGTTACTGAGCTTTTCGTTACATTTTTTCTCGTTTCAGGATGCCGCAGAAAACTACAAGGTGTCTGCCATGCCCACTTTTATTCTCCTGAAGGGCAAGCAAGTGTTGGACACCGTCGTCGGCGCCAACATCGAACAAGTCAGGAATGCCATTAAACGTCACCTGTAACTTTTGATGAATAGTCTGTTCTATTGATAATGTGCACTTGTGTAACGTAACACAATAACAACCATTTGGACACTTCACATCCGCCTTTTCATGCCCCGTTCCTCATCAGTGTCAGAGTAACTACAACATAGGTGGCCAAGCTACGACCTACTGCATCTTGAATTGCTTGCATGATAAGTGTTGACTAGACAGTTTGGATTTGTTTTGTTTCTAGTGTTCGTTCAGGTAAGCATTTCACGTTGTTAGTCTATCCGTTAGGTTGCAGTCAAATAATTTTGATCGGCGTTTATCAATCTAGTACTTGTAACGCCGTCGGCACATCGTTATCTCGGTGATTTGACAGGTCTACAACGCCTCCGTTCTCTCAGTGTTGTTTTATGGTAACGAATCTTGGAATCCTCCTACGTGTGTGGGTCAAATTGATCGACGCCTTTAGAAATCCGTCCATGGTTCGGTAGTTTCAAGTTGGGCATACAGGTTTCCAAAGCATTATTCTTATCACATTTGAGGCGAATCGAGTCGACATTCGAATTGCCAACATCGCTCATCATTTTTAACTTTGTGGTCAATCCGTCATGTATTGTGGATCGTGGGTCCAACTTACAAGTGAGAAACATGGAAGTCAGACGGATCATTAAAGCCATGAAGTGAAGGACTAGGGCTTCGTCGGAATCCATACACATACTCCAGACTGACATACAGTCTTGGACTAGTGTGCGCCATCTGTACCTGTGAACAGTGTGGTTTGTACGAGTTTGTATCGTGCTCGCCTTTGGGGGACACCAGACAACGTTATCTTAACGTTTGTGTTGGATAGCAGTTTTGCTACTATTAGGTTGGTAATCAAGTTATTGCGCTTTTTAATCTTAAACTTCAAATGCACATAACTTGGCTCATAAGTAACCTTTTTACTCGAAATAAAAACCATTTGAATTGACACTTATACCAATGGGATACAGGCTTATTTATTCCGGATGAATAACATTCCACAGTTCTGGTGGCGATGAAATCGTAGAGGGCGGTTTCGACATCTTGGATTTTAAAACTTTTCTCTCGTAGGAAGTTATCTAGGTGTTTGAATAAGTGTAAGTGTAGGGGAGTATGGTGAGTGAAGCAAACTTTCGTAGCCCAACTTGTGCGGCTTCCGCAGGGTTGTTTGGGCGATATGCGACCGAGCGTTATCATGGAGAAGAATTGGCCCCTTTCTGTTGCCAGTGCCGGGCACCTGTGCTGAAGTTTTCGGTGCATTTCGACAATTTGTTGACAATACTTCTCCATTGTAATGGTTTCGCCTGGGTTCAGAACGTTTTGATGGATGAGACGGCCAAACAGTCACCATAACCATTTTAAGTGAAATTTCTGCTTTGGGAAGTGTTGTGAAGCTTGATCGTGGTCCAACCATTGAGAAGTTGGTCGTCGATTGTCCTAAAGGATCCACTTTTCATAGCAAGCCACAATCCTGTCGAGAAATGGGTCCTTTTTCTCGCCAGAAGAAGAGCAGACGACACCAAATCAACGATTTCTTTGCTTTTCATTCCATTCATGCGACACCCGCTTATCAAGCTTTTTCGACATTCCAATCGCCCGTAAATGTTTTAGAACTGACGTTTGCTATACTGCCAATCCAGCAGCAAGGTCCCGGATCTGCTTTAACTAAGACCCTTAATTGATTGTTGTTCACTTCCAATGACCGTCCAAAACCATCTTCATCTTCAAGCCTCGTAACCATTTCGAAATTTCTGAAACCACCATTATGCAGTACGCTTATTAGTGGTTCTAGCACCAAGTGCACTGTTGCCATCATGAGCTGTTTCCCCTACATTTCGACTAAGTTTAAATTGGCGAAAGAAAATTGTGCGAATTTGTCTTCTGTCCATGTTGCATTACATGTTCTGTAAATATGTGTTTCTGAGCTAAACTGTCACCATAGTTAAATAGATCGCAAAAGAGACTGTTAAATGATATACAATGTCGGAGTAACCTATTAAAAATTTTAAAAAATAGCTGTTAAAATAAAAATATCAAAGAAACGCAATAACTTAAGTACCAACCTGATACAAAGATTGTGATCAGTACATTGGGGCGGGAATTGATTAGCACGCGTATTCTTTGTGCAATAGCCGTGAAACAGCCTCCCAAATGTTTGTTGTCCGACTTACTGAGGCATTTGTATTCTCAACAACAATCAAGATATTCTTCTTCCGTGCCAAATAGATGCAATATGAGAGCTGCCGATAGAATTCGTCTTTAATAGATGCCGAGCTGCAGCCGGTTATGGCATGCACCGAAACGATGGCGGTGTACCTGGTCCTCCTATTAACCCCGATGCAACTTCGAGGTAGAGTTGCACACATGTGAGTGTTCGCTGGTCGAATGGATCGCCTTCAGCATCTTTGCGGTGGATCAAGACAACACCACTAATGCCTTGTCACTGACTCAATACCGCCAACGACGCAAAATGCGTGGTCATTTTCAATAGATTTGGAGCAGCGGAGTCGTAGGTCCGTTACATCGCTGTTATTACATATGTGTCTTTCGGAGACAGCACACATTAGTTCCAAGCAGTAAGTAGAATAGCGGGGGTCAGCAGTCTTTTGACCAATCTAACGGTACGGACGCTGAAGGAGACAATACCAACTGAAATCGCTAGCCTTAGGGACGGGTTACATACATCATTAGCAGCAATTATGCAGTACATGACAGGGCCTTTCCAATAGACGGAAGAAGAGTGTTGTACGGAGTGAGAGGTGACAAGAGGGAAGTGTATTGGCAGCGGTGTCATGCAGTTGGATACTCTCATCCTTCTGCCCATTCCGAGCGAAGCGTTTTGTTCGAGTCGTCATACCTCTAGCCTATGAGTCAACCATCTGACCCTTAGAACAGTGCGTTACCTAGAGGTTTACTTGAATGTCTGCAGTCATATTCACTACTTGCACCGGCAGATGGTCACCGTTCCCCAGCAGCTGTAGAGAGCAGTCACCGAACCCATGTGTTTTGCCTCACTTTGAGACAACGAATTCATATCGGACTTTTCCGATACTTAGAATCCTGACAACAGCGTCTCAGAATGACTCAGCTGGTTCACATTTCCTCACAAAGCTGTTGTCCAGATGGACTGTTCCCAAAGTCCCCACCGAACATTCACAACGACGGTAGTTTAACTATCGTTTTCTTTCATCTGTGGTTTCATCCTGCTGACTTTCTTGGACTCCTGCCACTTGGACGCTACTCCTCTTTTCTTCATAGCACCTCCTTTATTCATCCTCTCGACTGCCACCCGTGCTCCATATTCAGCATAAAATTCCTCATCTATCACTGCTTCATTGCTTGCGAATACCCTGAAATGCACGACCTAATGGAAGCAGATTAACAAATTTCTCAGATACTCCCACTGTTAGAGTGAACCATCATTGGCAACAGGCGGCTTCCACTGACTCCATGGCACCTCGTAGATGAGTGCATTCGGTTCCTAAATCATGTTCATCAGTGACAGCCAGTCTTCTAGTCCGCGTCGTTATCACCTCCCCGCTGCCTTGCGGGCAGGTTTCGATTGAGAACCTAGATCTAGGTTTAGGCTCCTTGGCGGTATCTCAACCCATGTACAACCATGACTATTTCATCAAACTTCAACCACATCCTGCATCAACCATCGCGTAGCTGATCAAGAATCGCCTTATCTGCTGCATACAACAAAACGGGTAGATGAAAACATGCTACTGCTGATGCTTCCTTTCTTTTCCACCTGTTTCTCTTATTCACCTCCCGACCCCAGTTACCAACTTTATATACTTCCCAGATTATTTGACAACAGCTGCAGTACCACAAGAGTTCTGTCATGTACAGCTATCTTCCCGCACCACTGACTGAATGCACATCGGCAACAGCCCCTTATAAAGTCACGTTGTCCCGTTTCCCTGACAGCGTTCAACGTTCACACTCTAAGACAGGTAGGTCGGCAGGCTGCAGTCACACATAAGTTAGACATCCTGGGTATTGACGTGTGTTGTGTGTCCGAGCCTAGGATCAATGACCTTCGCTTGGTCGTTTAACTAACTGCACCCGACGTGTTCTCTTTTTATTGGTTTACGCATCCGAGGATTCTGATGCGGCAATCACTGGTCAAGCTGGAGTGGACATTGTCCCCACTTCCAAGCCTGAGTCATGGTTTGTTGATATGGTTCCTGTTAGAGCCCATTCGTGTGCAGCCCCTTTGACTATTTCAACTAAGGTTGCCACACGAAGTAGCGCTAGATGCTGTTTGTTTGTGGTTGCCGCTTATGCACCCACTGACAGCTTTTCTGATGCTGCTATGGACACATACCAAGAACTGAACACACTACTTCGCAGTGTCCACCAGTTTAGATATCGTTGTTGTTACAGGAGATATGAATGCTCAGCTGGATCGTTTGGATTCTTCGGAAGGTCGTCTAGGTGGTAAGTAAGAGTTTAACTCCGACCGAACGGACAATCACGAGCGTCTGTTTGCAACTGCCTAGAGCATCGGCTGTTTCTTAGTGACACCGCTTTTTGGACACAATGGGCACCGAAGTGCCATTCGGAGTCCACCTATAGCTGGCCAACAATTTACCTAAATTGATCGCGTTGCCGTAAGTTACAGGTAGCATGGTTCCACTTTGGATTGCCGCTCGTTTTATATTACCTACGTCGACTCTAATCTTACCTTGGTACGTTATCATTAGTCCATTAACTTTACCGGGAGGCGTATCAAGAGCCTCTTTCGATTGACAATTATGAACTTATTCCACCTTTCGGTCAGGCAAGCCTACCAGGATGCCTTGCGTACCGGGCTTTCGCTCCCTAATCCTGGAGACACAGCTTCAGTGGAATAGATCTTCGGCAGGAGCCTCTGCTTGTGACGCTATCAATTGTTACCGCTCCAATCACTGGATATGTGAGAGATCAATGAATCTGTTGGTATCCGGAAGGAAACTCGCTGCTGGCAATGAGCACGATGTAGCCAGACGGGCTATAAGGTACGAGCTAAAGCGGAGTCTGCGTTTCGACACGGAAGCCTGTGGACCAGCAGGGCTCAATAAATGAGGCAGGCGGGAGCAG